CTGTTGCTCCCTTCCTCATCATCCCTGTCTTTGAGGTGCCGAACTCTGTATCAGTGCGCGAGAGAGACCGCATTCACTCCGCTTAGCGGTCAACTAAAGTGTTTTTTAATAATCAAACATCTCCGAGTCGCGCGACACAACTAATCTATTATAACATTTTTGCCAACGCTTTTAGTAATCTATTTTTATCCATTTAATCGCTTCGTTGTTGCAGCCCTATATAATATTACTACGTTTTGTTATATAAAATATGCATTTTGAAATAGTAATAATAATAAGTATTCGCAAACAATATAACAATATCTCTGTGATTTTAAAATAACTTTGCAATTGAGTTATGCATCATATATCCCTTATTTTATTGGGTTGTGGATGTTACTTGAAGCATGTAAATTTACTATGTGTGAGCAAACAGTTGAAAACAAAAGCATTAGCCCTCCGGTGAAATTTAACTCTTGATCAAATATTTTCCAAGTGATAAAAGCTGCGACTTTGTTTCTGCCTGTCGCTCTGGGTGGTGATCTGCTGCAAACACAGGTCTGAGCACTGAGGATACAACCGGCCTCTGAGCAAGCTGAGAGATCTCTACTGGTGCTCCTATTGGCTGTTACTCAAGAAAGTCGCTTTTTTATTTACATAAATTTGAAGGATTCTTAACTTAGTTGCCTCGCTAGACATGTCCACCTGATCACCACTGGTCGCTCGCGTAGACAGAGGTCGCCAGAAGTCGCTTACTCAATGTTAAAATTAACTTGTCACTTGTTGCTTTGCGGCTGTGAGACACTTGTAGTGCGAATAAGACTTTATTTTAGCATTTCTTATTTTTATTCTGGAGAAAGTCTTATTTCCTTAACTTTGGTTAAAAGAATATATCAAATATTATATTTATTTAAATATGCTATGGGTAATATTATTAGACCCCTAAAAGATTGGCTACGGAACAAACCACAGTTTTCCAATGACTTGCCTATAGTCAACCTAATTAACTGACCTGAATGAATAGCTTTATGGGGCGGCACAGTGGCTCAGCGGTTAGCACTGTCGCTTTATAGCAAGAAAAGAAGGTCGCTGGTTCGAGTCACAGCTGAGCCAGTTGGCATTTCTGTGTGGCGTTTGCATGTTCTCATAATATTGGCGTGGGTTTTCTTAGGGTTTCCTAAGAAATTATTGGCAATAGTGTATGAGACAAAATTGGCAATAGTGTATGAGTGTGTGTGTGAATGGGTGTTTCACAGTAGTGGGTTGCGGCTGAAAGAGTGTCCGCTGCATAAAACTAATGCTGGAATAGGTGGCGGTTCATTCAGCTGTGGAGGCCCCTGAAAAATTAGGAACTAAGGTGAAGGAAAATGAATGGATGAATGAATGAATGAATAGCTTTATGCCTGTAAAATCAGATTGTTCACCAATTCTGACACATAAAATGTTTTGCGTTTTTTTTTTTTTTGGATGGACATTATTTACTATATAACTGCAGGTTAACTACTGTATGTTTGTATATATAGTGTCCCCTTTTTACACAACTTCTTAACTTTTCAGTTTTTTTTACATGTGAAAAGCGCTATACAAACAGACTAGAAATGAAGAAACTGACATATTGTCAAAAGATATATTAAATTGAACAACAAACCTGCAGTAAATGTTCAAACTAATTGTAACTCAAAGAGAAAGCAACAGAAACCACACCTGCTCCATTTCATAATGTCTGCGGTGCTTTCGGGACACAAAAGAAACCAGTTCTGTGAGTAATGCGCTCTTTTTAACCCACATTCAGAAACATGACAATTTCAAAACAGCAGGAATCAAGTCAAAACACGTTTAGACATTCTTACAGGAGATTCATCTATCAGCCACAGAGGAAAAACCCACCCGTGATGCTTTACACACAACATTCATTTCATTCATTCATTCATTCATTCAGGTTTACAAACTTTAAATATGACTACATCTGACTAAACCAGAACTCTTTTTCAATGCACAAACATACAAAAAAAATTAATTGAAAGCTTTTCCAAACATGACTTACTCAGATGTAATTAAAGATTAAAGAAGCATGTTTTACAAGACAAAATCTATAAACTTTGTTTTATATAAATTGTAAAACAAAACTAGAATAAATCTTTAAAAACTCGCAAAATAACGATAACTGCATTATTTTTGAGGAAAAATACAATCAACGTCAACCAAAACATCACTACTGATAACCAATATGCGAGTTTGAAAACTAAAACAAACCAAATATGATGATATTCTCAATATAATTGAATAATCTTTTTAAGAGTTTAAACACTTGATCCAACAACAAAACTAGAAAAAAGTCTTATCAAACATGCAAAATAAAGATGACTGCAGTGTTTTTTGAGGGAAAATACTATCAAAGTCAACTGACTTATCACTACTAATAACCAATATGCTTATGAACTAAAATAAACCAAATATAATGTAATAATATGCTGAAAGACCTTTGCGAAACATCAACTTATGTTCAACCTTAAATCAACCATTCAGCAACCAACCACTAAAACAATCACTCAACATAACTGAACAACCTTTTTAAGAGTTTAAACACTTGTTCCAACAACAAAACTAGAATAAATCTTTACAAACGCACAAAAATTACAATAAATGTAGTGTTTTTGAGAAAATATGCTGTCAAAGTCAACTGATAATAACCAATATGTGGGTTTAAATACTAAAATAAACCAAATATGATGTATAATATACTAATCTCAAAGACCTTCATGAAACATCAACTTATTTTCAACCTCAAATCAACCATTCAGCAACTTGCCACTAAAATAACTTCTCAACATAATTTAACATTATTAAGAGTTTAAAACTAGAGTAAATCTTTACAAACGCGCAAAATAATGACGACTGTAGGGTTTCTGAGAGAAAATATTGTCAGCATCAACTGATACATCACTACTAATAACCACTGGGCTTATGAACTAAAATAGACCAAATAAGAGTTTGTTTGTTTGTTTTTTCATTATCTTATAACATTTTAACACATTTTTCTCTGTTTTATCTATTTTTTATTCTTATTTCTATAATTTTTATTTTTATTATTTCTTTTCATTTTCTTAAACTTGTCTCTTTTACTCTTGTTTATGTAAAGCACTTTGAATTGCCACTGTGTTTGAAATGTGCTATATAAATAATCTTGCCTTGCCAAATATAATGTAATAATATGCTGAAAGACCTACACGAAACATCAACTTATGTTCAACCTCAAATCAAACAAATAGCAAATAAAATAATCGTTCTCAACATATTTGAACATACTTCACGAAACATCAACTTATTTTCAACCTCAAATCAACCATTCAGCAACCAACCACTAACAACTGTTCTCCACACAATTGGACAACCTTTTTAAGAGTTTAAACACTTGCTCCAGCAAAACAACTAGAATTATAATCTTTACAAACGGACAAAATAAGAATGACTGTAGTGTTCCTGAGGAAAAATACCATCAACGTTAACCAATAAATCACTACTTATAACCAATATGCAGGTTTAATAACTAAAATAAATCTAATATGATGTTTAATATGCTAATCTCAAAGACTTACATGAAACATTGACTTATTTACAACCTCAAATCAACCATTCAGCAACAAACCACTAAAACAACTGTTCTCAACATAATTGAACAACTGTTTAAAGAGTTTAAACATTTGCTCCAACAAAACTAGGATAAATCTTTACAAACATGCAAAATAATGATGACTGTGGTGTTTCTGAGAACAAATACCATTAATGTCAATGAATAATACTAATAACCAATATGTGGGCTCAAAAACTAAATTGAACCAAATATGATGTAATAATACGCTAATTTCTAGGACAATCACAAAACATCAACTTATTTTCAACCCCAAATCAACCATTCAGCAACTTACCACTAAAACAACTGTTCTCAACATAATTGAACAATAATTTTTAAGAGTTTTAACACTTGATCCATCAACAAAACTAGAGCAAATCTTTACAAACGCACAAAATGATGACGACTGCAGGGTTTCTGAGAGAAAATATAATCAGCATCAACTGATACATCACTACTAAAAAATGTGCTTATGAACTAAAACAAACCAAATATAAATGTAAAAATATGCTGAAAGACCTACAAGAAACATCAACTTAAGTTCAACCTCAAATCAACCAATCAGCAACTAAACACTAAAATAACCGCCCAACATAATTGAACAACATTTTTAAGAGTTTAACACTTGTTCCAACAACAAAACTAAAATAAATCTTTACAAACGCGCAAAATAACGATGAATGTAGGACTTCTGAGAGAAAATACCATCAACGTCAACCAAAACATCACTACTTATAACCAATATGTGGGTTTAAAAACTAAAATAAACCAACTATGATGTATATGCTAATCTCAAAGACCTTCACGAAACATAAACATATTTTTCAAACTCAAATCAACCACTCAGCAACTAACATTAAAATAACCGTTCTCGCCACAATTGAACAACAGTTTCAAGAGTTTATTACTTGTTTCTACAACAAAAACTTAAATAGATTTTTACAAACGCGCAAAATAACGATAAATCTAGTAGGCTACTTCTAAGGAAAAATACCATAAACGTCAACCGATATATCACTACCAATAAGCGGGTTTATAAACCAAACATGATGTAACTAACGTTAACGTTAATTAACTAATCTGAAACGTCACGAATAATCAACTTATTTTCAACCTCATATCAACCATTCAGCAACTAACCACAAAAATAACCGTCCTCGACATAATTGAACAACAATTTAAAGAGTTTAACACTTGTTTCAACACAACAACTAGAGTAAATCTTCACAAACGCGCAAAATAACGACGACTGTAGTGATTCTGAGGTGTTGAACGTGGAAATACACACAGGTAGAGGAACTCAGGTGTGACACACCTTCACCAACACCGTTTACAACATACAACATTAAATCTACTCAAAAGCGTGTTTTAAAACTCAAAAGTGACTTACCGATCTCCAATTAAGCCGAAGTGAATCCTCTGAAAGGTTTGTAAAGTGTTTTATTGTTCCATGTTCGCTCCGTGTCAGCGTTGAAGAGCCTTTCTGTGTAATTGTGTTCACAATTAAACTGGAAAAACTGGTCGGGCGAGGAGACGCTTTACTCCTACTACAAAGCCATGATTCTGCACACACACATAGGCTACATATACACACACATACACGCACACACACTGATGGAGGTTTTCTGTCCCAAGGTTTTGAACACACTCAAGACTCGCGTTTCATTCCTGGGCGATCACGTGACTGCTCAGGTAAGAAAGGTGTGACCGATTTTACATTCAAATTATGAGGGGAAAAACTTCTGCTTTTTGCTCTGGTTTTTGTTTTGGTGGCATATTTATTTATTTATTTATTTATTTATTTATTTATTTATTTAAAATTAAAGCTTCAATAACAAATCAACGAAAATCAAAGCTAAAAGTTACAGAACCTATTGAAAGGAGTTTTTTTTTTTACTTTATTTATTATTAGATTGATAATATTATAATTTATGCATGATTTAAACAATAATAATATGGGCTACTAGGCTATAAACGTACGGCAAAGAGCTTGACCAAAGAGCATGTATGCATAAATACATTTATGGTCTTCAAAAGAGTAATTCATACAACATTCATACACATGAAATAGACAGTGATAATAACAATATTGATATTAAATTAATGGAGTAATTTAAATGATAATATAACTACCAATAAAATTTTGATGGCCTATTTTATTTATTTATTTATTTATTTATTTATTGATGCTTCAATACCAACAGGTAAAAAAAGCAACAATAATGACTGTAAGTTTATGGAGCAAGTAAAATTACAATATAAATACCTATAAAGTTTTAATGGCCTAATTTATTTATTTAGCCTGTTTGTTTGTTTGTTTGTTGTTTGCCTCAATATAAAACCTATTTCATTATTATATATTTTACATTTGATGAATGAGTCATTTTCATTAATAAAATTGAGTAAATGGTTTTTGATTTGCCTAAGTTTTAAAAGCACATTCCGCTAATATGAAAATCATCATCATCATCACTCTAATGTAGTAATTTTCACATGATTCATTAAAGTGTTTTTTGCAAAAAAAATCAAGTCTTAAAAAACTGCTTAAAAATATTACATGCAATAGTGTTAAGTATATAGCTCATACAATTTTTTTACAGTGTACAAAAATCAAACATACACAGAAAAATGTCAGTGAAAGTAACAATAATGACAGTAAGTTAACAGAGCGAGTGAAATGATGATAAAAATACCTATAAAGTTCTGATGACCTTATTAATTTTTTTATTTATTAATGCTTCAATAACAAACATACTAAAATCGAATCTACACAGAAACATGTCATAGTAGCAACAACGTTAACAGATCAAGTTAAATGATAATATAAATACCTATAAAGTTTTGATGGCCTAATTTATTTATTTATTTATTTATTTATTTATTTATTTGTTTGTTTTATTGATGATTCATCAATAAACAAGTTTTCAATAAACAATAAACAAGTTTTGATGCATGGCCTTAATTATTTATTTATTTATTTATTTATTTACTTATTTATTTATTTATTTACTTATTTATTTTTCATGTATTTAATTATTTGTTTGTTTGTTTGTTTTATTGATGATTCATCAATAAACAAGTTTTAAATAAACAATAAACAAGTTTTGATGCATGGCCTTAATTATTTATTTATTTATTTATTTATTTATTTATTTATTTATTTATTTACTTATTTATTTTTCATGTATTTAATTATTTGTTTGTTTGTTTGTTTTATTGATGATTCATCAATAAACAAGTTTTAAATAAACAATAAACAAGTTTTGATGCATGGCCTTAATTATTTATTTATTTATTTATTTATTTATTTATTTATTTATTTATTTATTTATTTATTAATGCTTAAATAACAAACATACCAAAATAGAATCTACACAGGAATATGTCAATGATAGTAGCAATAACACTAACAGAGCAACTTAAAGGATAATATAAATACCTATAAAGTTTTGATGGCCTATTTCATTTATTTATTTATTTGTTTGTTTTGTTCATTCATTCATCCATTCATTCATCTTCTGCCGCTTTTCCGGGGCCGGGTCGCGGGGGCAGCAGTCTTAGGAGAGAACCCCAGACTTTCCTATCCCCAGACACGTCCTCCAGCTCCTCCGGGGGGATCCTGGGGCGTTTCCAGGCCAGCCGAGAAACATAGTCCCTCCAGCATGTCCTGGGTCTTCCTCGCGGCCTCCTCCAGGTGGGACATGCCTGGAACACCTCCCTAGGTAGGCGTCCAGGAGGCATCCGAAACAGATGCCCGAGCCACCTCAGCTGACTTCTCTCGATGTGGAGGAGCAGCGGCTCTACCCCGAGCTCCTCCCGGCTGTCAGAGCTCCTCACCCTATCCCTGTCACCCTTCGAAGGAAACTCGTTTCAGCCGCTTGTATGCGAGATCTTGTCCTTTCGGCCACTGTTTGTTTGTTTGTTTGTTTGTTTGTTTTATTGATGATTCAATAACAAAACATACCAAAACCGAACCTACACATGAAAATGACAGTGATAGTAATAATAATGATAGTATCTTAGCAAGTTGAATGATTAGATGAAAACTAAGTTTTGATGGCCTAATTTATTTATTCTTTTATTTTATTGATGCTTCCAAAATCAAACTCATAACAATGACAGTGATTGTAACAATAAAGATAATGGTAACTTAACAGAGCAAGTGAAATGATAATATAAATACCTATAAAGGTTTAATGGCCAACAGTACTATAGTTTCGACTTAGATGTCATGTTGAGGATTTAATAATAATTTTCTCTGCCTTCACAAGTTATTTTTCTGAATAAATATATTACAAAATATGCATATTTGTATTAAAATCACTTATATATTTTTTAATCTCAGTAAAATGAGTGTAAAACCAGGCTGCTTTGAAGTAAATACACCTTAATGAGGTTTGATTTGAATAGTGGTGAAGTGTCGCCCTCTGCTGAGAGAAACAGCTAATGTTGTTTGATTAGTAGCTAGTTGTCGCTGATTGGTTGGTTGTGATGGGTTTAAATATAATTCTGTATAAAAAGCTAAGAGAATATATAAATAATATCACAGGAATGATTGCACAACTTGAACAGTTTTTGTTTATTTTGTTCACGTCTATGGTTTGAGGCAATGGGCTTTCCTAGTTCTGTAAGTAACAAAACCATTACATAAATCTGGAACAAACCTAATAATAAATTAAGAAGATGTTGAACTATAAGACGTGATAATAACAAAAATATTAATAGTAAAAGCTATTTTGTCACTAAACAAAAGTTCTCGTATGTAGCCTACGCTTAATGCTCTGCAACGAGCCATCGAAACCGCGCGCCCTCTGCAGGCCGAAAGCTTTATTGTCTCCAACGAAACAGCGATTAACTGGCATTTACATTTCTCTAATGCGTTTTTTTTACCTGACAACACCCGACTTTCGCTTATTACAATATTTTCAGTCTCCTAGTGTTTAAATTGCATATAAGGTTTTAACTTAGCCTACTGATTATTGTGCAGCAGTATATTTACATAACGGTCATTCTTCAACTATATACGGACACTTTTCGCCTTGTTAAGTTGAGTAAACAAACTTGTTCAAAATTAACGTAGCATTGCCCCATGAGTTAAACAATTTGTCTAGTTTTAAGATCTGTAAGAGAACAAACTTATATAAGAAGAGAAACATTTTCTCCATCGTGAACTGAACAAATGTCAATTCCAGCACATCTCAATAAACAGCATTAGCAAAATGAAATAAATGATGGCAGTCAAACATTGATCATTTTTAAATCCAGTTTAACCAATCTTTCCACAATATATATAATAATTATACATTTGTCAATTAAATAAATTAGTTGCTGAATTGTACACCTGTCTAAAATGTAATATTAATTTGGTTAAGTGCTTATTAGAAATTAAATAAGCTGAATTTGTAAATAGAGCATGAACCTATACATTGTGAATACACTTTTAATGTGTGATGAGAACTTTTAAAATGTTTTTTAATAATGTGTGTGGTGATGGAAATGACAGTGGTGGAAATGAAAAATAGCTTCAGCGATTAGCTTTGAGTTATATGAATACAAAACACTCTTATTTACCTTCATTTTGTTTGGTTTTTAAACATCTTTGAAGGTACAACATGGAAATGATGTAGAATAAATGTATTTTTATTATCAAGCAATATTTACCTTGATTTTTCTTCAAGTGTTGTTGATAAAAATGTAAATTCCCTCCATCTTGAAGATGTTCTCAGATGGCACTATTCATTTTCATAAAAACCACCTAAATAATCTTTCACACAAACTTTTTAAAGTGACATTACAGTGCAGGCCCGCCTGGCGAAAGGGCAAGGTTTCTTCTTCTTCTTTTTTTTTTTAAGTGGACCTTTTTCAGTTATACACCTCAGTTTCTATTTTACCATGAGATTTAAATACTGCATTTTAGTGACATTTTTTGTTGGATTAACTAGTCAGATGTCATCACAACCACACTTTTTGATGTACTAAAATATTTCCTAAAAATTGCAATAAAATGCTTTTTAAAACTAGACTAATTTTTAAAATACAAATTTATTACATAATTTATCATTAGGAAAAATAGCAATCTGTTAAAATTTTAAAGTAGAAAAACAGTAGCCTACTGTCATTTATTAGACAAGAAACAAACTGGCCAGCACATTCAACTGCCCTCATTCACAATTTGGCCATTTCAATAATAATAAAAAAATAATTAAAACATCATAATATAATATAATATAATATAATATAATATAATATAATATAATATAATATAATATAATATAATATAATATAATAAAATAAAATATAATATAATATAATATAATATAATATAATATAATATAATATAATATAATATAATAATAATAATAATAATAATAATAATAATGAATTCTTCAGAATTTTTATAGTCTCTTTGGTTAAAAAAAAAAAAAAAACATTTGAAAATTCCTGCACTCTAAAAACGTTATTTATTATTATTATTTATTATGGGTTATTTATTTAACCTAATGGTTAAACATGTTTGGTGCTTTGTTGGGTTATTTTTAACCTTTATTTGGTTATTTATTAATAACTCAACCAGTTGAATTTAATATTTGGTGCTTTGTTGGGTTATTTTTAACCTTTATTTGGTTATTTATTAATAACTCAACCAGTTGAGTTCA